AGGTGTGTCTTCCTGGATGGAAGCAGAATTTTTCTGCAAGATGTATTCTAGGTTGGCTTCTATTTTATTAAACCTGAAAAGTGTGCTTTAGGTGTCCTGGGGGGAGGAAAACGAGTCAAGTTATCTTAAAGAGCTTAAGACAGGAAGGGGAACTTTCCAGGGGTGGAGAGAGGACGGCGGTGGGTTCTGAGATGAGTGGGAGGCTGGTGCTTAGCTTTTAGGTAGCTTCCCAGCAAATTGGCCCAACCTCCAAGGGGATGACCGAGGGTGTGACTGGGAGGGGGGCTGGCGTGAACTCTGATCCCCATATGTCAGGAAAATAGAGAGAAATTGGATTTGAAGGAACCACTTGGGGCTCGGTTGGCTGTTAGCAGTAAGCATGACAGAGAAGAGGGTGAAGACTGTCTTTGTTTTATGGTACCACAGAAGCCTTCCAGATTTGGTGCCCGAACCTAAGTTACCTGCTAGTGTGATAAGAGAGATGCTTAGAAACCACTTTATTTTCTTTAAAGAAAACAAAGAAGTGGGTATTCCTTGAACACCTGAGTCTGGGACTGAGATCCATACTCTTTACCTGCAAATCTCAATTTCTACGATTCTAAGAGTGACCTGTTGACACACCATCAACTGACTTGAGGTTGCCCTTCACCTTTTAATCTTTCTAGACTCACCCTCCCTTCCACCCTCATGCCTGGGTGGTGGTTGTCCTGTGGCAGGAACTCTTCTTCAAGGTTGCTTTGAATGATAAGTGTAATCTTATGTCTTCTGCAAACAAATGTCCAGGAAATAAAGGCAAGCCCAACGTGATTCATCCCAGGCCACTAAATAAATTGGTCTTGTTCTCCTTTTTTATATCCAGAATATTAATTCCCACCACAGAAATGGGTCCTGTCCCTTCAGCAGGGGCCTCCTCTCAATGAAGACCTCTTGATAATCTGTGTCTGGGATGCTGGAAGCACATGGAATAGCCACCACTTATCCAGGTTAAGATTAGGAATGAAATTCAAAATTTCTTTTTCAATGAGTGTTTCTAGTAGATTATCAAATTATGCAAACAGAATCATCTCAGACATACAAAAGCAATGGCTAGATAAAAGACTAGAAGAAAATATGCTACTATGTTAAGAGTAATCTATCTTTGAATGAAGGGATCAAAGGTAATGTTTCTCCTGCTTCTTTACATTTTTCCGTACTTTCTGGATTTTCTCAGTATGCATTGATTTTACAATTAAAAAAAGGTTAAAAAATGACAAAAAAGAAAAATAAATTAGCATTCCTCTCGTAGTACCATGAAAACTGAGCATTTAGATACTGAAGAGCTAGGAGAAACACTTTTGGAGACTTCGGTTCTTGAATCGCTTTTCCAAGATGCAGGTTCAACCTGTCTGCATAGATTGTAAGAGAAATCTGTCAAGTGAATTTTTTAGTGTTTACTGACTTCCCTAAGCCCCCTGGTAGGTGATGTGAAATGCCAATGACTTCCAGTACTTTCTGAGGCAGTTACATGTTTTCCTAGTGAGATTCCTTAGCATGTAAAGTTATTACAAGGAAAGAATGAGGAGGATTTTATAACGTGTACTTCTGGGTTACAGAAGGACACATCACCTTTCCTGCAGTTTCAAATCAGAGCAGTCGATGCATAAATAAGACCGCTGCGGAAAACAGACAGAGCCTTAGCTGGTGGGGCTGCCGGGCCCTCACTTAATGAGCTACACCAGGACTGACTGTTA